GGCTCCAGAGAATTCCTCGGAAAAAACACAGGAGAAATCCCGGCGAGAAACGCTTTTTCCTGAGTTTTCCGGGATTTCTCCGGCAATTTTCCACAGTTTTTCCGGGAATTTTCTGAGGGTTTTTCGGATTTTTTTTCGGGGTTTTTCCCGGGGTTTTCCGCGGGTTTTCGGGATTTTTTCGGGAGTTTTTAAGTTTTTCGGGGCACAGTGAATTTTTTGTACGTGTTCTCAAAAGTTTTTTTTCGCGGGCTCTGTTTTACTGTAGGGTCGCATGCAAACTGCGTGGCGACTCAGCGATACGTAGGTTTTTTTCTCATTTTGTTGTTTAACCTTTTTTGAATCAAATTGAATAGAAATTTTTCTTCGCATCATGTTCAGTATAGTATTGACAGAATTTGATCGAAAGTTATTACTGAAAAATGCTCTGGAAACATGGTGAGCGCTGCTTCGGCTTAAGCGCGGCTTACTGTCAGATTCTGAAGACGCAATATGAAATTTGTAAAAGTCCGTGTGAGATGGAGCGTAGAAACCGAGAAAACAATTGTACGTACAAAAAAATTTACCGTGCGGGAAAAAATCCCGAAAAAAAATTCCCGTAATAAAAAAATACCGGAAAACTCTGGAGAACCCCTGGAAAACCCCGGAAAAAAATGCCGGAAAAAACATGGAAATATCCCGAGAATCCCCTGGAGAAACCCTTGGTAAAAACCCCGAAGACACCCCTAAAAACCGGAAAAAAATCCCGGAAGAACGTTTTTCCGGGATTTTTCCAAGGTTTTTCCGGGTTTTTTTCCTGTTTCTTTTCGGAGTTTGCTGGGGATTTTCCGGGGTTTCTCCAGTGTTTTTGCAATGTTTCTGCACTGTTTCTGCAGTGTTAACAATGAATAACAAAAGATAAATATTCATTTTTCTCTCTTTTTTCATCAGCGACGACAATGAAATAGGTGTGGTTTTAAGTAGAAGAAACAAGCGCGGCAAAAAAAACACATAATTTTTTACAAAAGGCTGACTTCAAGAATTCTTGATGGCTCCAATTGTGAGACAAACATGACTCCGTCAGCAGCAATGGCAAGGGCATGAGTGTTACGAACCAATCCTTTGGCGAATGTCTCAGTCTTTCCGGTTTGCATATCAATCGAGAACATTTGTGCCTCGACGTCGTCTGATTTACCCGTCACACCGATCAGATAGTGTTCACGCTCACGGATGGCAAAGACGCGGCCGATGTCGGTGGCTGAGGTGATTGGGATTCCGGTTGGGAGGGTACGATCACCCTCGGATAGACCCGCCGAGAAGCATTGGACACGTTGGTTTTCTCTGGAAAAATTGCAAATGCGCTCCATTGAGATCGCGCGGTGGTTTGAATTTTTGGTGGGAATTTTTTTTTTAGTTTTATCGACTTTTCGGAATTTTTTTTGTGCAAGTTCTGATTTTTTGATTAAAAAGATGCGTACAAGCGCGCTTTGTCAAGATCGCGGGGCAGTTCAAATTTTATTTTGCCTCAAGTCGGAATCACTAGCAAATTTGAATTGTTTGGTGGGAAATTCTTTGTTTTTATTGATTTTTCGAGATTTTTTTGTGGAGAATCTGAATTTTTCGATCAAAAAATGCGTACAAACGCGCTTTATCAAGATCACACGTTTTATCTCTTGCGAATGTGCTCCACCGAAATCACGCGCAAATTTGAATTTTTGAAAACTAAATCTTGATTTTATGCGATTTTTGTTTTTTTTTAGAAAATTTCAAAAAAAAAATCAGTATTTATGAATTGGTAAGCATCCCTTTTTTCAAGTGCGTTCCACCGGAATCACGCGCAAATTTGAACTTTCGTATACGAAATATTGATTTTAATCGATGTTTCGTGTTTTCCTTCCGAGAAATAAATTTTTTCTATGAATTAAAAATCATTTGAAATCAGAAAACAGCGAAAAAAAAGTTTTTTTTTTTTCGAAAAATTTGATTTCTCATTTTTTGAAAATTTCAAAATTTTTCGACGAAAAAACTGAATTTTTAACTCAGAAAATCGTGAAAATTCCATACTTGTGAAGGGCCGGCCCGGGCCCGCCCGAAGGCCCGGCCCGGCCCGCCCGGCCCGCTCGGCCCGGAAAATTACCGCGAATTTTGAAAAATCGAAAAAATATACCCTAATTTTGTGCTCCGGGGGTATATTGAGCATAAGAAGAGTAGTTTTAGGTTTTTCGAAGGTTTTTTCGAAAAATTTCAAAAAAATTCAAAAATTTTCAAAAAAAATTTTCAAAATTTTTTGAATCCGGGCCGCCGGGCCGGGCCGGGCCCCTGAAAATTTTTTCTCGGCCCGGCCCGGCCCGCCGGGCCGAAGCGGGCCGGGCCGAAATTTCACAAGTATGGAAAATTCAAATTCTCGCCAAATTATTTCAAATAAAAAAGAAAAACGTGAGCCTTTGAGGTCCCCCCACTAACCTATCAGCAACACAAATGATGTTCATATCCTCAATGAGAGCCAATGAGTGTGGGACAAGGAATTCGGGTGATTGGTTGTCTTCTGAAAAAATTGGTTTCTGGTGTTTGGCCAGCACTCAGGAAGAGAAGGAAATTTCATTATTTTGTGGTCAAGTGCGCTCTAATGAAATTTCGCGAAACACTAACCAATGGCCGCGTTAATCTGAGCCATCAGATTTCCCTTGGCATCAAACTTCAACACTCGACTGTTACAGTAACCATCGGCCACAAAGATATGTCCGTTCTTAGCCACAGCCACATCAGTCGGCTTGCAGAAGTGCTTCTCATCCTCTCCAGGCACCAGTTTCTCTCCAAGAGTCATCACAATTTTCTTGGTCTTCGAATCGATTTTATGGACTTGATGACTTCCAACATCCGTCACCCAGTAGTCCCCATTGTTATCAATGGTGAGCCCATGGGGCATGTAGAAGAGTCCTGCTCCAAACTCCTCCAAGGTCTTCCGATCTTCCCGATTGATGATTGCAATGGTGTTATTGTTGATGACTCCCAGATTCTTGTTGAATGTCTCATCCGAATTGAAACTCTTCTCATCCCAAACACGAGCGGAGCGGTGGAAGGCTACGACGTGTCCGTCTTTGTCGATGGCTAGGCCGCTGACCTGACCGATCTCTTTGCTTGGCTTGAATAGTCCGATCTGCAATTTTTTATTGGAATTGGTGGGAGGGAAAGTGCGCTCTGTTGAGAATTCGTGGCCTAGGAAAACCCTATCAAAGGAGTGTCTATTAGAACGGACTATAACGTCCTCCTAAACAGCCCTATAAATGACTCGGAAACCTTCAAAAACCACCTAAAAACCTCTAGAATGACCTAGAAACCCAACACATTACCATAGAAAAAAAGCAAAAAAAATCTTGACCCCACCTGGAGTCGAACCCGGGACACAGGTGATTCGTGACATGTCTATCACAGGTTAGAGCCATATCGCATGCCCGTTTGTACCTATCGCGAAAACTTGGAACATGTAACAGACATATCGCGAACTTTCGCGAAATACCTGTAATATGCCTGTAATAGACCTATCGGCGAAGATGGAGGCGCGACATTTTTCATTTTCACAAAGTTTTTTTCAACGTTGAGTTTTTATTCCTCTGATTTTTTTATTTTGCGTTCTGCATTTTTTCTATGTGTGAGCTCTGATAACAAATACTATTGCGAATAATTTCAGATTGAAAATATCTATTCACTTTCGAGTAAGCAGTACAAGCTGAACAGGTTTGTTTTAACAGTTAAAGCCCCTCCACTTTCTGTTTTTTTTTAACAGACTACCTGAAAGTCTCAAATGGATATCGATATCGGACGGCGACCTATGGAATCAAATGGAGGTATTAAAGTTAGATGCGGTTAGTCAAAACGAGCTCAAAATACTTCTCCGCCAAACATTTTTCAGGATTCCTCAGGGAGCAATATGAGGACAACATCATGGACAAAGAAGACCTGCTCGGATGCGATTTTTTCACAATCAATACAGCTTGAGATATATCACGAACAAAAAGTACCGAAATTACTTTATTATGGAACGACAACTTGGATGTGCTAACTTGGAATTCAGAAAAGTTTTTTGTTGTGTATTACCTATTAGGGACTGACCAGACATGCCAGAGTGCTTTCTTTCAATGTCAAGCTTATATTATTGGGAAGCTTTTCGACGGGCATCCCAATAAT